CATACAAACTCAACCCTGTATTTAAACACAATAACTATATACGAGCACCCCTTCAAACACCTACACTGTACATTACACTGTAGCGCCAGTAATGCTGCAGCACTGTACAGATATACAACCTAGAAATTTTGACTTTGGGTTCCTTGGAAAAATACTGAAATATTAATGGCGCCTTGAACCTAAGAAATTTGGGAACCACTGGTATAATATATTCGTGTGAGGGCATATTTTGTAGAATAGTATATATAAATAATAGTATATTAGTGTAAGGGCATATATTGTATAGGATCTATGTATGATTATATTAGTGTGAGGGCATATTTTGTATAGCATATTAGTGTAAGGGCATATTTTGTATAGTATGGGATCTATGTAGGAGTATATTAATGGCATATTATGTACTGTATGCTAGTGTGAGGGCATATTATGTACTGTATGCTAGTGTGAGGGCATATTATGTATTGTATGCTAGTGTGAGGGCATATTATGTATTGTATGCTAGTGTGAGGGCATATTATATATTAGTGTGAGGGCATTATATATATTAGTGTGAGGGCATTATATATATTTTATGTTAGTGTGAGGGCATATTATATATATATATAATATATTAGTGTGAGGGCATATTTTGTATAGTATGGGATCTATGTAGGAGTATATTATTATGTATAGTAGATTAGTGTGAGGGCATATTATATATATATATATATATATATATATATATATATATATATATATATATAAAAATATTGTCCAATGCTTGCACTCCTGTATAATTATGTGTGAGACCCGATGCTTATCGGCATAAATAATAGATAGAAAATTTTTGAAAAGCACTCCAGGGACTTCATATAAGGTGAAAAAAAACAACTTAGCTTTATTCAGCAACTGCCAAAAGTGATCAACGTTTCAGCTCACACATGGAGCTTTCGTCAGGATGAGTGCGCTGGATCTTGTGTATTGTATTATTTGGCCCCCAGCAGCACCCCCATTTATGCATGTTAAGGTGAGTGCAGCCAACCCCCTCTTGTTTTGTATATATATATATTAATTATATTACTGTGAGGGCATAATATATATATATATATATATATATATATATATATATTAGTGTGATGGCATATTTTGTATAGCATATTAGTGTAAGGGCATATTTTGTATAGTATGGGATCTATGTAGTGTATAGTATATTAATGGCATATTATGTATAGTAGATTAGTGTGAGGGCATATATTAGTGTGAGGGCATATATTAGTGTGAGGGCATATTATGTATAGTATGAGGGCATATTATGTATATAGGTTAGTATGAGGGCATATTATGTATATAGGTTAGTATGAGGGCATATTATGTATATAGGTTAGTATGAGGGCATATTATGCATATAGGTTAGTATGAGGGCATATTATGCATATAGGTTAGTATGAGGGCATATTATTTATAGTATAGTAGTGTGAGGGCATATTATGTATAGTATGTTAGTGTGAGGGCATATTATGCATATAGGTTAGTATGAGGGCATATTATGCATATAGGTTAGTATGAGGGCATATTATGCATATAGGTTAGTATGAGGGCATATTATGCATATAGGTTAGTATGAGGGCATATTATTTATAGTATGTTAGTGTGAGGGCATATTATGTATAGTATGTTAGTGTGAGGGCATATTATGTATAGTATGTTAGTGTGAGGGCATATTATGTATAGTATGTTAGTGTGAGGGCATATTATGTATAGTATGTTAGTGTGAGGGCATATTATGTATAGTATGTTAGTGTGAGGGCATATTATGTATAGTATGTTAGTGTGAGGGCATATTATATTATGTATAGTATATTAGCGTGAGGGAATATTATGTAGGTGTTTTTGTACTCACATGGATGGCTGTTGGCGGCTGGAGACCTCACTGACGGTGTCATCCACTCATCTCTTCCTTCTCAATCTATCGTCTCTTCTTCTCCAACCGTCTCCACTTCCTTCCGGGTATGAGCTATCGCTGCCGCCGCCCCCTCCTGCCAACCAGCGGTGCGTGAGGGAGCAAAGAAGAGCAAGCAAACACCAGGGCGGAGAAGCAAATGAGTAGGCGGTTGTACTACCGACCAGTCTCTAATCTGCAAGCATTTTTTGGCAGCACTCAATAAAGTTCTGTCAAAGAAAAAAAAAAAGGAGGTTAAGCTTCGATAGGAATAGTGTTACAAAACTCAGCCAATCAGTAACATCACCTGACAGAAATGGGCGTGGCAACCACGTTTACTTACAAATAAAGTTACAATAAAAACAAGTGTCAAAGCGGCCATATTGAATAAGGGCAATACGCACATATATGCACAATTAAATTTACCCTGTATGGATTTAAAAAATAAATAAAAAATCCTCCATTAATACCTACGCTTCTTTTACTACTTTGAAATGATCATATAGCCTGAAATTCCTCAAGGCATACCTTTAAAAAAATAAGGCGTATGATAAATAACGTCAGTAAAATATTTAACATTTACCGATATCCGTCACTAGAACCAGCACAATGCAGTGGTTAGTGCGTCAAGTGAACTCTAAATTATTGCCTCTTGCATTTAGAACTACGAGCGTCATTTCCATTGTAGAGCAAAAAATAACACGGTGGCGCTCCTCACCGTCTCTCAATGTCTTAAACGCAAGGCGACATAATCCAGGCAACCAAAGAAGATTTTTTTTTTTTTTTTTTTTTTAAAGCTTCTCTATCGTTTAACACTCGATCGCGAGGACAGACGTCTTGCGGTTCTAATGACGTCTCCGCATTCCTAACGTCCTTCCTCGTGCCTCCACTGGGGCCTTCTTTTTACGTCATCTCTGTGTGGAGTGAGTCAGACTTGAGCCTCCCGCGCTTTGTATAACGTTAGTCAAGGCAACCAACGTGCGGACCGTTGCCGATCAATCAGTTTGGCGCCATGTCTCATACAAGCTGTGCTAAAAAAAATACCTTTCAAAACGTGTAGATATCTGAACAAATGAAAACAGAAATAGATTATTTTTTTTTAATTTTGTACGGGGGTTTTGGGGAGACACTGCAATGAAAATGTAATAGTTTAATACAATGCTTATTGCAATAAAATGATCTTAGATGGCAGAAGTCTCAACATGCTTTACAGCTTAGATATTTTTTTTTTTCTTCACTATTTAGTGTTTTTTTTTTTTATTCAGCATTAGTGGATCATATTAAAGTCTTTATTTTAGCGTGCTATCTGCAAGAGAGGAAAGTGATTACTTATGAAAGTCATCAGATTTGCACAGGAGTATTAAAGATCATTATAGTCACCAAGACCACTTTCGGCACTGTCACCATCTATGGATAATGCCAAATTAGTAAAGACCCCGACGGTGCCATCGCTGCTGTGATGTGCCATCTTCCTCCATAGACAGAGCCAATTCCTTGCAGCTGTCACTGGTGACAGATGTCTGGAGTGTCTGGAAATGCTCCGCCCTGAGTCAAAGAAAGTCAGCATTGAGGTCTGTGGAGGATCCGGCTAAAAGACCTTATTGGCTAAATGTGGCTAAAGCACTGATACCGGAGAAACTGACGGAAGCAGAGCACAGAGAGATGGACACAGGTTTCTTCAGGAAGGAAGAGATTCTTTATTGGATCACCGATCGGGACTCAGAGGGACTAATGTCACCAAAAATACAGCAAGTTCTGAGCCCTGAACAATAGTGCAGGCTTCCTATATAGGCACATAACTCCTCCCACACTAAGCCCCACCCGCACATTCTCCTGACCAATCATTACAAATAAGAATTAACTTCCTGCTTGACCGCATGGCTTGTCCAGCACAATGGAGGAGGGGAATACTACATCCTGTATTCCTGCACATGCTCCGCACACTACTGATCGTATCTTGCCTCGTGCAACCAACTGATCGATACGTCAGCATATGCACGTACACATGCCACGTGGTAATCTCGGCCCACTAAATTTATTTTTACCGAGATTCCACCACATTCCCCCCTTTGATGCCTCTTGATATTTTACAATTACTTGAGGCATCACTTAACCTTGGTTTACATACACCACAAGTTACCTTTGAACCAGACCAGACTTATCCTATGATGTGAATCTTCAACACTCATCTTCCTGCATTAGTTCTCCCTGATCTAGAGCCTTATATTTATAAATTGCCATTATCTGTGCAGCAGCCTTCCTCTCTGCTATATTTTCTATCAGGCTTTGCACAGACCTAACTACTAAGGGTATAAGACACGGCAGGAGTAGACACAACATTAAAATCAGTAGGACTCCACCTACCACTGCCTTAAGCCCTCCAACCCACTCATACCAGCTACCAAACCAACTACTTGGATTGTACCCTTTCCATACCTGAGTAGGCACATGCGCTAGTTTAACCATATGGCTAGTAAGCTCAGCTATTGCTTGCCCTTCGTCATCTATTTGAAGACAGCAATTGCTCAGGTTAAACTTCCCACATACACCTCCCTCTACTGCCAAAAGATAATCCAAGGCTAATCTATTTTGGTAAACTGCTGTCCTCATCCTGGTATTATGCTTCGCTAGAAGATTGAGCGCTTGTGATGTCTCGTTAGTAATGATCTCAACCACCGCCTGTAACCTTATAATGCGGTTGAGCATATAAATAGGGGTTCTATAACCAAAGGTACCATCCTCTGCCCACGTGGCTGGCCCATAATAATCTATAATACGCTGGGGAGGCCATTCATTATCTTCCCAGGCACCTATCTCTATGGGTCCCCTTTTCTTCCTATGATTCACATCATACACTTTAACACCTAAAGTCTCACCTATTTCAATAGGCAACAAGAAGAAGGATGGTTTTAACATACCCAACACACATGCCCCTTCCCAGTCCTGTGGTAACTCCGAATAGGCCTTCTTACCACAGATCCAGTACAAATTCGCTGGGGCTCTCCAGTTAGATGTGATGGATAGATCAAACCATACGTCCTTTAAATTGGCATATCTTGCAAACGGGTTAGATGGTTCTGAGACATTTGAAGCCGACCACCAAGTTGTATTCTTTGTATCATCATCATAAGCTTTTTGCCCTAGACAAGTTAATTCTCCTACAGAAGTATTATACATCATTCCTTTCCTCGCTATGCAAACATAACCTATGATGGAGGTCTTCAATCTCCACTCAGATTTACCTCTAACACTCATATGATAGTCGGCTTGTATAGATATTAATTGGTCAACTGCCTCAGAACCGGACATTACCTCCTTTGCTTCCCAAGGCCATTGGTCTCCCATGTTAGTACCTCCACACACATAGCAGTTGGTAACATTAAGACTACCGGCAATACTCTCGGCTAAATCAATGAACAAGTTTTTAGCATTATGGGGGATCTTATTATCTATGCTCATCTCTTCATAAAAGGAATGGTATACTTGATGAGTTTGGGAGGTTACCGTATCAGTCTCTATCCCTATAAACAATATTGTCCCAGGGTCTAAACCTGTCCCATATATTTGAAACCCAAATAAATTACCATATTTATCTAAGAACTTGTCAGGGTTATTTATAAGTATATGGATTGGATTGCATTCCATAGACTTACAATATGGATCAATAGGCAACTTAGTCACAATCATGTCCTTGTCTACTGTCTGTCCCCAAGTCGCCCACCCCACACAAGACCAATATGGACAGAAGTTATAATCTCTATTTGGACATCTTGGACTTACATATTTATTTTTACTACTGGGACAAATATATTTATCGTTAGACCCATACGTCCTCTCCCATCTAAGATCCCCACATACATTCCACGGCTTTCTACCACTTGATATTGCTTTACACGCATCAAATAGCAGAGCACCTGAAGAATATACGGATTCTAATACCGTCTTATTAATTAGGGTCCCCTGAGGATCTCCATTTCTGAGAGTCAACCAAATTGTACGGGGTTGATACTCAGGACTGAAGCACTTAGGTTCTCCTACTCCTAAATGACACACTCTATATTCTATATTTAAGTATCTACATCTTGATACATCTCCTTTACACTCATATTGCGAATGCCAAATTAGGGTCTGGGATATATGGTTACCTGTTCTTGTAGTCTTAATGCATACCTCACAGCTAGGAGTGTCGGTACCTCTACCTTCCTGAATATAAAAATACACATAAATAAACATTATTAAAAATACATCTTTCGTCGTCATCCTCAGTCTTCGTCCGTGCGAAGGCACCTCAGCTTCCAGGATGTAAGGGCTGCAGGGAATGGAGTTCTGCTCGTCTTCACAGGGGTCCCCTCAAGACTTTCCCTGACTTATACACTCGTTGGTGAGTGGACAGGCTTTATTATGGCCTTCTCACTCACTTACCAAGTCTCTGAAACAATAAAATTTGTGATCCACAAGGTTCCTCGTCACTCCGACTGAGTCGTGCGTTTTAACCGGATTTTGCAGGGATTCTCTGGATTTGCTGTAACTTGCCAGGAATCGGCTGCTGCTGGTTTAACCCTGGAGTGATGTATCCACGGAGCCACTTCGGCTACTTTTATCGCTGTAGGGGTAGACAGAAGAACAACATAAGGACCTCTCCACTTGGGCCCTAACGGCACATTATTCCACTCTTTAATCCACACTTGGTCGCCTGGGTGGTAACTATGAATTGGGGGATAAATATTCACAGGTAATCTATCTTGTACCCATTTCTGTACCTCCTCCATAGTCTTACCCAACTCTACAACCTGCTGCCGGGTAATTCCTTCTCCCAACTGACTCAAATCCCCCCTTAAGTTACCAAGCACGGGAGGTGGTCGCCCGTACATGATTTCAAAAGGAGAGAGGCCCATCCTTCTGGTAGGTGTACTACGGATTCGCAATAGAGCTATGGGCAAGAGAACGTTCCACTTAAGTTGGGTTTCCTGACACATTTTAGCCAACTGATTCTTAATAGTTCTATTCATTCTCTCTACCTTACCAGAACTCTGGGGTCTATATGCCGTATGAAGCCTCCACTTTATACCAAGCATATGAGTCAATTGTTGTAGGCACTGATGAACAAAAGCTGGACCATTGTCTGATCCTATAGAGCAAGGTAATCCATATCGGGGTATTATTTCTCGTAGCAGGAATCTCACGACTTCTCCTGCTTTCTCTGTACGAGTAGGACATGCTTCTACCCAGCCTGAATAGGTGCACACCACTACCAGAAGGTAGCGATGTCCACCCGATTTAGGCATCACTGTATAGTCAATTTGTAAATCGGACATGGGAAGTCCCCCCATAAACTGGACTCCTGGTGGCTTTACTGGTCCCTGTCTTGCATTATTTTTAGCACACGTTACACATCTACGTACAATGGCCTGAGTCAAGTTGGACAATCTTGGTATGTAGAAATGTTTTCTGAGAGATTCTTCTGTACTGTCTCTCCCAGAATGTGTCCCGTTATGATAGTTTTGGACAATTTCTACCGCTAGTGATGCTGGAATAACTATTCTTCCATCTTCTAACTGATACCATTTGTTCTCCAAATACTTTCCAGGTTCAGTCCTTAACCACTCCTCTTCTTGAGCTGTATAAATTGGAGTCCATTGAGACAGTGGAGCTGGTATAAGAGCAGCTATATGCCCCACATATTCCTGTCTTCCTGATTCAGCAGCACGCTTAGCTGCACTATCTGCCATCCGATTCCCTTTGGTTACATCACCATCTCCTCTCAGATGCGCCCGACAATGTATAATACCGACTTCTTTCGGCTCCCACACTGCTTCCAATAGTTGTAGGATCTCAGCTGCGTATTTGATTTCTTTGCCTTCTGAATTCAATAGTCCTCTTTCTTTATACAAAGCTCCGTGGGCATGAGTGGTTAAAAACGCATACTTGGAGTCCGTGTAGATGTTCACTCTTAAACCTTCAGCCAATTGTAACGCTCGTGTCAGTGCTATCAATTCTGCCTTTTGTGCTGATGTTCCTTTTGCCAGTGGCCGAGCTTCTATCACCTTGTCTATCGTTGTTACTGCATATCCTGCATAGCGGATCCCTTCTTTTACATAACTACTGCCGTCGGTGTAATATTGAACATCAGGGTTCTGGATGGGAAAATCACGAAGATCTGGTCTACTTGAAAATACTTCATCCATTACTTCCAAACAATCATGTTGACTTTCAGTAGGTTGTGGCAAAAGGGTAGCTGGATTTAAGGTATTTACAGTCTCTAAATGCACTCTTGGGTTTTCACACAACATTGCTTGATACTTGGTCATACGGCTGTTACTAAACCAATGATTTCCTTTGTAATCCAACAACGTCTGTACTGCATGTGGAACTCGTACATAAAGTTCTTGACCCAGAGTGAGTTTATCGGCTTCAGCTACTAGCAGGGCGGCTGCAGCTACAGCTCTTAGACAAGGTGGAAGTCCGCTGGCCACTGCATCCAGTTGCTTAGACATGTAGGCAACAGGTCTTTGCCATGATCCCAAGTACTGTGTCAATACTCCCACAGCCATTCTTCTTTGCTCATGTACATACAGGTAGAATGGCCGTGTGTGGTCAGGTAGACCTAATGCTGGGGCACTCATCAAAGCCCTCTTCACATCTTCGAATGCCGTTTGCTGTTCTTGAGTCCATAAGAAGGGGTCGTGCTCTGTACCTTTGATAGCTGCATACAGAGGTTTTGCCAGTATCGCGTAGCTGGGAATCCATATCCTACAGAAGCCTGCTGCCCCAAGAATTCTCGCACTTGTCTTCTATTCCTGGGTATCGGTATTTGGCACACAGCTTCTTTTCTCTCTGGCCCCATAATTCTTTGACCTTCAGAGATATGGAATCCCAGATATTTGACAGTTGGCAAACACAACTGAGCCTTCCTTCTAGACACCTTGTATCCTGCCTTCCAGAGGATGTGTAGTAGATCGTGCGTTGCTTGCTGACATACTTCCTTTGTAACTGCTGCTATCAACAAGTCATCTACATATTGTAATAATACACACTCTCCTGGGATAGACTCAAAATCTAGTAGATCTTGGCTTAGAGCTGAACCAAATAGGGTAGGTGAATTTTTAAACCCCTGGGGCAATCTTGTCCAGGTCATTTGGCGTTTCGAGCCCGTTACAGCATTTTCCCATTGGAAAGCAAAGATACATTGGCTTTCTGCGGCAATTCGGAGGCAAAAGAAGGCATCTTTGAGATCTAAGACTGTAAAGTAAGTAGCCCCGCCCGGAATTAAAGCAAGCAGGTTATACGGATTGGGCACGACTGGATGTATACTAACAACCGCATCATTGACTGCTCTCAAGTCCTGCACAGGTCGATACTCATCTGTACCGGGCTTTTGAACAGGCAGCAATGGGGTGTTCCAGGGGGAAGTACAGAATTTTAGGATACCATACCGTATGAACTTATCCAGATAAGATTGGATGTTCTTCTTAGCCTTCTGCGGAATATGATATTGTCTCAGGCTTACTGGATAAACCCCAAGTTTTAGTTCGATTTTAATAGGTGGAATATTGCGGGCCAGTCCTGGTGGGTTGTTCTCTGCCCAAACTCCTGGTATGTTAAATAAGGATTCATCACTCCTCGGGTTTTGGCTAGTCAACACTGTATAAAGTCGCCACTCTTCTTCCTTTGGTACGGACAATGTCATAATACCTGAGGGTCCATTAAACTTTAAGGATGTTGTTCCATTTGGTAGGAACGTAATCTGCGCTTGTAATTTGGATAGCATATCACGTCCCAGCAATTGGACTGGACACTCAGGCATATAAAGGAATTGATGTTTTACTACGTGGCCTCCCAATGTACAGAGTCGACTTTTAAGAACCGGTTTTTCAGCACTTCTTCCAGTTGCTCCTATTACAGTAATAGTTCTTCCAGATGGAGGAGCAACTAGATTAGTCACCACCGAATGTTCAGCACCAGTGTCGATCATGAACGCACTCCTTTTTCCCCCTATTGATACATCGACCATAGGCTCCGCTCGACCAAGGGGGATGGAGCCCGGTCGGTATCAATAGTCCTCCATGACCGTGTCAGCCAATCCCACAAAGTCCCTACCTTCTCTATCGCGGGACCTTTGCGCTGCTGGATAGTACCTATCTTCCCTTACACTTCCTCTGTTCCCATTACTCCCTCTATTACCATTACTCCCTCCGGGGCCTCCTCTACCTCTCGCTCTGCCTCTAAAGTTTCCATAACCTGCCCTGGGTAAGTCTCTCTCATACTGCTCTCTTTGCGGACACTCATTCCTCCAATGCCCTTCTTCCTTGCAGTACGCGCACTGATTCCTACTCAAAGGCTCCCTATTCCATCTACCATCGCCTCTATCTGGGCCCCGTCTATCTACGCCTGCGATCGCTACCGCTAACATATCTGCCTTTCTACGCATCTTGCGCTCTTCCTCTTTCTTACTTTCTGTTTCCCTATTCATATATACTTTGTTCGCTACCTCCATTAGTTGGGTGATAGACATACCTGCAAACCCTTCTAATTTCTGTAGCTTGCGCTTAATATCTCCGTAAGCTTGGCTGACAAAGGCGGAGTTTACCATTCGGGAATTATCAGCGTCTTCCGGATTAAAGGGGGTATACAAGCGGTATGCCTCCAATAATCGGTCATAAAAGACACTGGGCGCTTCATCACTTTTCTGAATCACCTCAACTGTCTTCGACATGTTAATAGCTTTCTTCCCTCCGGCTTTCATGCCAGCAATTATAGCATCTCTATAGGCTTTAAGTTGAGCCATATCTGCGCCATTTACATTCCAGTCAGGATCGGTGTTAGGGTAATGTGTTGCGGCCCATGCTGCCGGATTGGCTTGATTTAAAGCACGGGCTCTCTCCTCTAGCGCCTTAATGGCCGCTTGGTTAATCCTTGTCCTTTCCTCATTATTGAACAATGTCATTAATAACTGCTGGCAATCAGCCCATGTCGGGTTATGTGTCTGAACTATCGAGGTGAACAGATCGGTCATAGCTTGTGGTTTCTCAGTGTACGAGGAATTGTGGGTCTTCCAATTCAAGAGATCGGTAGTCGTGAACGGGACATATACGAAGACTGGGTCAGCATGTGCCATTTGACCTGCGGCATCGATATAGGCTGACCCAGGATTCAGACGAAGAGGCATCTGATAATGTTTTAATTGTTGGGTACCGGTCAGTTGTCGGGTTAGTATGGGGCTACGTGGAGGGGCGTCAGTTAAAGGTTCCGGTCGAGAGGTAATAGGGCATGAGGATGTGGGAACTTGATTTTGTGAAAAATTAGTGAATAGTATACTCCGAGCCGAGCTAGAAGAAGCTTGACCGGAAGTTTGAAGTGGCGCCAAATCAGGATATTCAGATCTAATGGGGGTTGGTCCTGGTTCCGGAAGGGGAGTTTTAATACGAGGGGGGGTGGATTCTGTACTGGAGGAGGAAGCGGAAGTGGATGGGGGCAATAGGGGAAGGGGTGCAGAACTTCCTGCATTCGCGTCACTTCCTCTTAAAGGGAAGTAAGGGGGCGGCAAAGGGATCTCGGACTCAGGGGGCGTGTCCAAAATGGGCCTAACACCGGTCCTAGTGGACAAATAAGTCCTGGCCACCATGAGGCGACATTGCTCCTCGTGGCATATCCGGATCCATTTTGGCGAGTCGTTTACGGCCTGCCTCCAACAATCAATGTATGGAAACTGTCCGTAAAGTTCAGGCCTACCTGACACAGCCACGTGTACACGCTGTACCAGGGTTGGATCCAAACTGCCACGCGGCGGCCATGCCGCAACCAAAGTAGGCCACTCCCTAGTGCACAAAGTGACCAAACGAACAGGAGACATTTTAACCCCAAAATCACATATTTTGAATCCCTTTTTAAAATTCTTTACCATACAACCTAAGGGATCCGAAATCGCTGACTCTGACGCGCCCATACTTATCAATGGAACGTCGTTGACAACGAATACTATGCACGCGTTCTTATTCAACAGTCACACCCGTTTCCTCTGGCAACAGCACCACGTGGTACAGTTACCAAGTGAAACGTACACAATAACACAATAATCACTCAGGGAATTCCCGTACACACACAGCTGTTACACCAGTCACTAAATAATCAATATTATGCCCTTTGGCGAAACTATACAGTCACCCACGCTATAATTCTCTATATATGAATTACCCGTCTATAACACACCCCAGTAACATCGTCTTTTACTAGTATCGGTTACAGTACGGTTAGCATAGGTCAAAGCACAATTTAAGGTCACAATACAATTATTAGTGGTTACGGTGTTAAACATGCAATAGACGACAATGATTAGTACTTATATACAGTGTCAGTAAATATACAGGGTTATGGTACCGTGCACTATGATACAGCAACACACTATTAACACTCTCGCTAGACGGCTGAGCTCGCGCTATCTAACAAGATATACACTTTACTAACAATCTTTAACACATTTACAATCCCAACTAAACTATTGGCCAGTACCTTGAATGGACTACCTAAAACTATATACACCCGTTTTGGTTAGCCACACTGCCCAAGCACCACATATAGCGAACTA